TCTCCTGTTGTCACACGCACACCTGGGGACTCCTGTCTCTTCTAGCAGCCCAAGAGTGCCTCCATCTGAGTCTTCATTTATATGGTTTCATCTCAGGGGCGACCCTGTTTCTACATCACTGTTGGATTTTCTGACTCAGTAACAGGTTCACTGCTTGCAAGAGACAGGGGCAAGTCCCTATCGCTCCTAAAGAGATAAAATTAACAAACTTACTCTTTAAAACTCACTCAATCCAGTGATGGTGATTACTACATTTATTTTTTTCTAATAACTATTTTAAATATTACAGGCAAAAAAGAGGCAAAATCACAACATGGATTAGGTAGTGACATCGCATAGTATGTTCTATAATAAGAAGATCAGCACAGTTAAGTATATGAATGCAGTATATGAATGATTGGCTGAAGATGCTATCTGTCCTGCCACATAATCTCCTGCTAGCCCAGCCCTCTAGCTTCATCCTCCAGAGTAGAGGGGGGCAGGATTCTCAGTGACATCACAATGGGAGAGTGGTTTCTGATGGTGTGGAGTGTTATAAGTAGGTGTGGCTGGTGACAAAGATTCTCCAGTGGCTGTGACTTTGTCTCTGGTGGGAACATTCTTCTCAGTTACAGACTGGCTGTTAGTCTGAGAGAGAAGAGAAGGAGAAGAGGAGGGAAAAAGAGACAGAGAAAGAAAGGGGGTAAGTAAGGGAAGGAGCTGAAGGGAGAGAGTGGGAGAGGGGGTTAAAATATTGTCAGTTTTTCTACTCAGTCAGTACAGTGTGTCAGAGCAGCAGACTGTCTTTCCAGCCTGTCCTGTCAGTCAGTGGATCCAGCAGTGTGCCAGAGCATGAGTGTGTCAGTATGTCAGAGCATCAGTATTTCAGGTGACAGATCATCGGGTTGTCAATCAGTGGATCCAGCAGTGTGTCAGATCATCAAAGTGTTAGTTAACGTGTCAGTAGGTCTGTTTATCAGTCAACCTGTCAGCCTGTCAGAGCACCAGTACCATTGATCTCTTGATGCCCTCCTCCTGGGAGGCCTTGGCGTTCTTCTGCATGTCAGTGTGTCGGAGCATCAGTGGGTCAGTACGCCAGTCAGTGTCAGGCAGTGTGTCAG